ATTCTTACCATTTGCAACAGCATGGATGGACCTGGAGAGCATTATGCTAAATGAAATAAGCCAGTCAGAGAAAGATAAATATCACATGGCCTCACTCATTTGTGGAATATAATGAATAACATAAACTGATGAACAAAAATATATCCAGAGACAGAAACATTGAGCAGACTGTCAAACCTCAGAGAGAAGGCAGGGGAGGTGGTAGTAGCGGGGGGAGGGGAGTAAGAGAGCAACCAAAGGACTTTTATGCATGTAAATAAGCCTAACCAATGGACACAGACAGTAGTGGGGTGAGAGCCTGTGCTGGAGTGTGGGGCAGGCTATTTATCAGATAGTGTGTGTTTATAATGTGCTTTTACACTATATATATATATCTACACTAATAAAAGAGAAACATGCAAATTAGTGTCACTCTGCTACGCCCACCAGCCGATCAAGATGAGTATGCAAATTAACCCAACAAAGATGATGGTTAATTTGCATATGCAGGCACAGAGCATATGTGTTTATATATATATACATACACACATACACACACAAATATGTATGTGTGTGTATTACATATATATACACACACACATATATATACACACACAGATACACACATATCTGTATGTGTGTGCTTGTGTATGTATATATATACACACACACATATACATACTAGAGGTCCAGTGCACGAAATTCCTGCACAGGTAGGGTCCCTACTTGCTGCGGCCTCCTTTTGTTTTGCACCGCCCCCTGATGGTCAGTGCACCTCATAGAGAGCAATCCAACTCCCAGTCAGTTGAACTCTCAAGGGGACACTTTGCATATTAGCTTTTATATATAAAGATGATGTATATATAATGTGTAAAAGCACATTATAAACACACACTATCTGATAAATGAATTTACTTTATAATTGAAAGTACTATTGTTGGTTTTTGTGAGTTATATCAATCCTATAAGCCTGAAGACATTTAAACCTCCCTCATCAATTCTCCTCAGGAAGCCACAGCATTTAGGGAACTTAAACCACTGAGGTTTGGTAATAGGGGTCCCTCATTCCTTCCTGCATAAAACTGAACCTGTAGATAGTACAGCAGCCACCCCTTTAGATTTGTCAGAATCCATCCCTTACCCAAAGCAAATGTAATACCACATAATTAAATCTACTTTCTATTTTATTGATCAGGGTCCCCACCTCATACCTTGACAAAAAAATTCAGAGGGAGGGAGAATTTCCCCGAGATGTTCATGCTGCTATGATCCTGCAGCACAGGGCTGTTGCGCAGCTCCACAGTCTCAGTCACAACATACAGATTCACCCCTGCTTCCCGGCACTGCTTCAGAAAGTACGGCTCTGGGTCCGGCAGTTTCCTGTGGGGAGGAGAGGGTCAGAGTGGGAAGAGATGCCTTCCCAGGTGGCCCTAGGTCACCCCCCTCCTCAGGACCTGGAAAGGGTGTGCCTGCCACAGGTAGAACGATCCTGGCACATGGGGTAAGTTACCAAGGAAAGCGAAACATCTTCTTTGCTACACAGAGTGGGGCCCCCATTTTCTGATAGGGGCGTGGGAAGGAGAGTACGCAGGTCATATTGTGAAGGCATAAGAATTTCCCAAAATTATATTGGTCCTGTTAGAGGGCAGTTTATAGATGCCCAGTGCCTGGGCCTCTCACCTGAAGAGGCCAGGAGTGGACAGGTCCACTTGGTTGACAACAGTCCCCAGGGAGCCTGACCATTGTCCAGAGGCACAGTGGGATGGGCTGGGGGCAAACAGATAAACATTATGAAGCAGGAGGTGCTGGATGAGTTTCCAGGACAAGCACATGGGGATGTGGACAGAGTAACTGTCCCTGGCAGGTGGCTGGGAGGGCTACCGTGAAGATGCAAGTCTGGGTGGGGACATGACGGGTTGAAAGTACTGAAGACGGATTTCATCTACATGTCTGTTCTCTGGCTCAAATCTCGTTCCACTAAAGGCCCCACTGGGTTGGCGCCCTGTATAAAACCGCGGGGAATACTGAGAGATCCTTGCATTGCTTTTCAGTGGAGGAAGTCACAGCCTCCAGGGTGAGTTTCCCGTCGCCCTTTGGAGGAAGTCAAGGCCCTTACCGTGTCTCTAAGATATTGTGTCATCTGACATTTACTCACCTCCAAGCCTCACTTCTGTCACCTTCATCCTGGTTGGCTAAGCTCCCACCTCACTGACTTCCCACAGCTCCTGGAAACGCCAGGCTGGTCCAAGCTGGTCCTGGTCCAGGTTTCAAACCCCTCATCTGGACCACTTTCCTCCTGCTCTTTGCTCCCTTTAGTCTGCAGGTCTCAGTTCAACTGTTAGCTCCACAGAGAGACCTAAATAGGCCCCTCCCTCCAGCCCCTCTTCCACCAGCTCCTGACACTACCCACATCCATTTACCAAAAGTGTCTCACTGACTTTCTTTTCACATTTCAAATTGTCCTCAGAAATAGTATCCCTGAAATTGGAGCCTCTTAAACTGCTGAAAAAATTATAGGAAACTTATTTTCCTGCCACATACTCTTTTATACCATAAAGTCTTTGCAAGTGTTAGTTCTAATAAAAGTCTTACAACACACCAGAAATACAGAAACGGTGCCATGCCCTGTCAAAGTAATTTTCAGTCTCAATACCCTGTGATTTTTACTGGTTGCTTACTTCAGTATTTCTTTGCACTGACAGAAATACTATTTGGACCTGGTCTGTGTGGCTCAGTAGTTGAGCATCAAACTCCAAACCAGCAGGTCACAGGTCAATTCCCAGTCTGGGCACATGCCAGGGTTGCAGGCTCAATCACCAGAAAGGGTTGTGCAGGAGACAGACAATCAATGATTCTCTCTCATCATTGATGTTTCTATCTCTCCCTCTCCCTTCCTCTCTCTGAAATCAATAAAAACATATTTTTTAAAAAGAAAGAAATACACTTTAAATTGAAATCTGTTTCTAAAAGGTCTTTTTTCACAGGCACTGAGGTAAATTAAGTCCTAGGACATTAGGTCATACTTTGTTTAAACAAAGAGTTTCAGAGCCTTTGCCTCACCTAAATTAATAATTTAACTTATCCTTTATTGCCTAATTTTCTCACTCACTGACTGCAACTTTAATGAAGACTTATTAGATAACTCATCACCGCTCGCTGAATGAATGAATGTGTGAATACCCAAGAATGGCAGCATGATCTGGGGTGTCATTTTCTTCATTGTGAGCCTCTTTGCCCACAAGACCTCCGCAAGGGGCCCATTCACCAGGTCCCTCCCCCTGCATTCACCTCTTCTCAAGCTCTGCCCAGGTTTCGTGTGGGGTGCTAACAATCTGGTACTCGAGGGAGGACCCTCGGCTCACAGCAGTCTCCTCCGAGAAGCCCGCTTCTGCCCCAGCATTCACTCTCCCAGCCACCTGCTGCTTCATGACCTCAGTGTCACTGAAGTCCGCAGACACTTTCACAGCAGCGTCTGGAAACAAACAAGGTACCTGAGGTCAGCCAAGAATTCCCGCTGTAACAGCTGGGAAATGGCATGGAAATGGCACGACTAAGCCCTAGCTCGCCCCAGCTCTCCCACTCAACTGAATCTCAACCAAGAAGCTAACTCATCAGCCAACATTTTGAGTGTAAATTACTCCTAAGAACGTTTGAATCCACCCAGGGGCTGGATAACAGGGATACTGTCCTAGCCCTACGGCATGATGAGGTCCCCTGGGTGGGGGTCTCAGCAAGTCTTGCCGGCTGCACCCCTTCTCCCTGCACCCTTGTTTTGCAGCCCCTGCCTCCTATGCCCCTGGATGACAATACCTGGAACCGAAGAACCTGGTTCGAGGATATGCATGAGGGAAACATCAAGTGGAACATCAGGTAGTTGCCAAAACCGAGAGCGAGCCTTCTTCCTCTGTATTAGAGAAAACCGGCGTATCTTGGTGGCGGTCACCAAGCATTTGACAGGTCTGAGCTCTTGGTCTCCGATCTCTTTGACCAATTTCTTGGTAGTTCTCCCAAACATGGAGGGCATGTTGCTAGGGACAGAGAGAAGGGAAGCACGAAGATGAGGTGGGTCTTACAATGAGATTAAATAAGTTTTCATGTGTCATTCAGAGAGTTGGCAGTGACTTGACTGTGTCATAGGCCTTTGTCGTATATTCACAGTGAAGTCACATGCATGTGCAAGTGAACCCCATTAGCTTTAATGGGCCCTGGGTCTTTCTTAAATAGCTGTCCATCAGAATGGTCTTTAGTGAACAGATGAGATACCGAGACCTGAGTCCCTGCTGGGTCAGGGGACCAATGAGCACTTGCTTAACTTGTTAGAAGTGCCAAAGAGGAGGTAAGTTCCCCTCCAAAACCAAATGTACGCACTTCCTTATGCCACACAGTTCCCATCAAGCTGGCCACACTGCACGATGGTTAGTCCCCATGGAGGAGTGATTGTTAGTGTGTGTGAACTACCCGTGTTCAGTGCTGCAAAGCCCTTGCTTTCTAAGATCTTACCGAGTTTTGCTGTGACTGAAACAGAACAAGAATGTGGCCGTCACAAAGGTGGGCATGAGATGATTAAATAAAGCACAGACGCCTGCATTGCTGTGCTAAGTGGACCATGATTCACCAGAAAATTATGAAATGCCTCATTGCTAAGTGTCAGGAGCTGTGGATGGGTACTCATCAATCTGTACTAATCAACCTGTACTTGTCAACCTATAGTCATCCACCTGTAGCCATCAACCAGTACTCATCAACCTGTAGTCATCCACCTGTAGTTGTCAACCTGGATAACACTCTCATTCTGATTTTAAACACTTTCCATTTCAAAGATTAATGTCAGTAGAATGGCAGAACAGGACTTCTCAGCCCTCATCCCTCCACGGAAACAACAGTTCTGACAACTACTTGTGGATGAGAGTTTCTCTATGGGTGCTAGAGTCCAGCAGATCAAAACCTCCAGGGATAAATGCATTTAAGAGTGGAAGCAGAGCAGTTTCACTTCCCCATGTCACCCCTCCTCCAAGGCAGCATAATTCAATCAAGACTAACCCCAAAGCCCATGCTTCTCCCCTGGGAATAGAGCACAGGGAGCCCACGCCCTGCCCTGTAGGACACTCCTAACCCTGTGGCCCAGGCTTCTCCCATAGGGGAGTGAGAGCAGTCAGCCCACCACCCCCACACCCCCATGTAGGACACTCCTAAGAGGCCTGCTTCTTTTTCATCCCACCCACAGCGCTGAGGCGGGTTGGCATGGCTGAAGACTCTGAGGGCAGGTAGATGGCACTGATAGATGAGTGGGTAGAGAAGATGTACATTTACACAGTGGAATATGACTCCACCATAAAAAGAATGAAATCTTGCCATTGTGACAACATGGACGGACCTAGAGGACATTACACTAAGAGAAATAAATCAGAGAGAAAAAGACAAATACCATATGATTTCATTTATATGTGGACTCTTAATAATAATAATAAAAAAAAAGAATAAACAACACAAAACAGACCCATAGATACAGAGAATAAGCTGATGGTTGCCAAAGGGAAGAGGGTGAGGATGGGTGAAAAAAAGATGTGTCAAAGACACATCCCTTCATCATACCTGCTTGTGTGTTGTTACCCAGAATTCTTTTGCATTAGGAAGAATGGTAAGAAGTGCTCATTTTGGGGGGGAGGGGGAGAGTGGTTGTCAATCTAAAACAAACCAAAAACATCTCTACCCATTTCTCAAACCTATTCTGAACATTTCTCTCTCTATAGTATTGTTATTGCCGAAATGAGCTAGTTAATATCAATAAAGGGAAAAAGTGAAGGGAAGGCCAGACATTATAACATGGTTATCTGGGCAGCTTCACCCTCCCTAGGGAACCACTCCCTGCAGGTCACTGGGGGAAGGGATAGAGCAAAGGGGGAGATGGGCGCATGTGCAGTAGAAGTGGGGGGATAGGGTGGGTAGGGAGTGTAGGGGGGTGCTTGCCTGTCAGTCTAGCCTGGGGAACAATGGATTGGCTAGGGGGTGACCCCATCAGAAGCATGTGAAATCTTAAAGAGTTAATTGGTTAGTTTGGAGAAGCTCCTGGTTAAAACCCCAAAGAGTTCCCTCTCTCATTCGCTCTTGTTCTTTCTCTCTCTTGCTCTGTGACCCACCCTCAGCCATGTGTTCCCCTGTTCTCTCTTCATAGCCATGTTGCCTTACACAGCCCCATGGTCCATGCCATGCTGACCTCACACACAAAATACCCAGCTGGGAACATAGCTAAGCTAGCCAGGTGCTGGATTGGACTGGACTTTAACATGGAACAGAAATTCTGGGCAGTGGCCTTGATCCTAGCCCTGCTGAAGGCAAGAATGGACTTCTTCCATGACAAGACAGAAATGGGATCTTAGAGGGGAACCCCCTTAATTTTACATCATCAATAAAGCTTTCCATAAAGCCCCATCCTACTGTGGGGGCCTCAGGAAATTCTTTTCCTCACTCCAAGAACCCCATTTCCACTTATAACAGTATCTTTTTATTCACCCCCTGGTCCTGGTTAGAACTTACCAGTTGTATATTGTCTTGTCTTATAGAGAAAGGCTCCAATGGGTCGGGCTCCTTCCAATCTCCAGAGCGCCTGAGGTCAGACAAAATCCAGAGAACGGAGAAGTGCGACTGCTCGTTGTGTTTTCTTCCCACCAGCAGATCCCTGACAAGTTCCAGGGCAATATCCTGTAAGAAGAAGCAGATGAAGCCCTCATCTCCTCCAGACCAGGTCTGGGGCTGAGCTCTGGATCAACCAGTCTTACCTCTCAAGTCCTTCTCAGGCAGGTGGAGACTAGAATCAGGCAGGGTTTCTACATATACTGTATCTGCCAGGCTGTCCCGTAGGACAGTAGATAGGATCTCCAGAAGCAGAGCATGTCTGTTCCTGACCCAGAGAACAGTCTGAGCAAGTCTGGTTTGTGGGTTCATTCACGGATGAGTGATTGCTGAAACAACTTATTTGGCTACATGCCACCTTAAACACACTGTGTAATGTGGCCATG